AATGTCAACTTATCTAGACACCCAAATATATAAACAACAACCCAATCTTGTTCGGAAGATTAAGCGATGAAGCAAGCAAATTCCATTAACAATTTAAAAAAGACGCAGAGAAAAGAGGAGAATACAAATGATTATACCACTTAAAAGGAAAGATTCAAAATCGGTAAAAGTGGTGGATTGAAGAATCTAGGATCCGCGCTGTTGCATTTAATGGAAGCGAGTGAAACCACGGATGACATTGCCACCATTAAACAATTTCCACAAGCGTTTTGGCTCTCTTTAACTTAATTAATCTGCTTATCAACAAATAATCATTAGTTACATATTAAATTACTTATTTCTTTTTCATTTTTGAGTATTACGTACGTATTTTTTTTTGGGTAAAGTACATGGTCCCTAATTATAGAATATTGCTTTAATAAGTCCTCTACTATTAAAAGTTACAGAATGATCCTTCAAATATAGGAAGTTGCTTTGTTGAGTCCATCGACTATTAAAAGTTACAAAATAGTCACTCGATTATTCATTATGGTCCAAACTCGTTCTTTTTCGTTAAAAAATTAATGGTAGTTTAAGTTGTAAGTTAACTTACTAACTAAGATATGATAAAATCTGATCTTATAATCTCAAACGAATTATCATATTTCAGTCAACATGTTAACGTTCAACTTAGATGACCGTTAATTTTTTAATGAAAAGATACGAGGTTGGAACATAATGAATAGTCGAGTGACTATTTTGTAACTTTTAATAGTTGATGGACTCAACAAAGCAACTATCTATAGTCGAGTGACCGTTTTATAACTTTTAATAGTCAAAAATAATAATAAAACAATATTCTATGGTCAGAGGATCATTTGTGTAAAAGTTTAGAACATAGTGAATAGTCAAGTGTTCATTCTGTAACTTTTAATAGTCGATAGACTCAATAAACAATTACCTATAATCGAGGAATCATTTGTAATTTTTAATAGTTAAAGGACTTAATAAAACAATATCATATAGTCGGAAGACCATTTGTGTACTTTACCCTTTTTATTTGACTTAGATATTGGTTAAAATAAAATCTAATATTTTCAATCTATTTTAATATTTTACATAAGTTGTGTGCATCTATGATTTGATTTTAATTGTTATAAAATTAAAATATTATTTGGACATTCCATCTTCACATGGTTATACTCGAAATATTTGTTTAATGATTTATATGAATATATAAAAAATATATTATAAATAGTATATAAATATAAAGATTGTATTCTTCAAGAAACACAAAAATGTATCTATTTAACTTTATTCTCTCTCTCCTATTTAATTCATTGTACTTTAAATTCGTTCAATTTTCTCACTAAATTTAATTCAATTAGCTTTTTTTGTCATTTAGTCGTTAAATATTTAACGACGTTAAAATGACGCCGTTTAAAAAAACAAAATTTTCAACAAAACGACGTCGTTTTGCATCTATATAACAACTCATTTATAACGCCGTTTGGTGAGAAAAATGGTTGAGTGACGAAAAATGTTAATTGTGTTAAATTCAACGAGGAAATTAAACGAATTTAAAATACAATGAGTGAAACATGAGAAAGTGAAAATTAGTGATGATTGGTGTAATTCACCCTAATTACTAATTACACATTGAATGTAGTTATGTTGTCAAGGATGAAAAACACATAAGTATCGATGTGTAGATTTTTTTCTTTCATATAAGAAACTATTTAGAGTTAATTTAATTTATGTTATTTTGGGTTATTAGTGAGCAAAAAAATGATTTTCTATATATAATTTTATAAAATCTCCGATATTATCAGTTTTAATACGTAAATAAAAAAATATAGTGTAAGTAAAATGCTCGTATATCCATCATTTGGGATTTTAATAATTACGTATATAAATTGATTTATAAACAAATATGAAAATATATGTTTGAGTAATATCAACGAGTTTCTCTAATACTATGTTGTACAACACTTAAGTCGCATGGAATGTCATGCGACACTCATCTAGCTTGTCCTGCGTAGGGCTGTAAATGTGACGAGACAGATCGCGAGTTATTCGAGATCGACTCGATCAAGGTTCGATAAATACTCGGATCGAATGGACTCGACTCGAGCTCGACTCGAGTTCTTAACGAGCTACTCGATATTCGACTCGAAAAGCTCGTGAGCAGCTCGAAAATATAATATATTAAGATTTTATTTAAAAAATAAATTAATAATAATATTAATATTTATGTATTGATTTTTTTTAAAAATACAGTAAGATTTCATATTTTTAAGGTTCATGTTCGAGTTTGAGGCTTCAATTGAGTTAAGTTTAAGATTTTTTTTTCATTTCGAGCATTTTCGAGCTGCTCACGAGCTTCAGTTCAGGATTTCGAGTTCGAGTCGAGCTTGAAAATTTTAAGCTCGCGAGTTTTCGAGTCGCATCGAGCTCCATTTCAGAGTTTTCGAGTCGAGTCGAGCTCAGCAATACTCAAACTCGACTCAGCTCGTTTACACCCCTAGTCCTACGACTTAATATAAACAGTGATACTCAAATACTTATTATCCTATTTCTTCTAAATTAGAGGCGGAGCATAGTGAGGATCAAAGGTGCTCTTGTCCCTGTTAAATTTGTATATTTGATGTAATTTTGGTCTAATATTATTTTGGCTCATGTAAAAATAAATATTTAAATTAAAAAATATAAAATTTATTAAATATTTAATCAAGTAGGATCGAACTAAAGAAGGATAATCACGTGTTCTCAAAATTTTTAGTCTAATAACAATTTAGGTCATTGTAAGTCTTAATATTACACAAATTAAGTGTTATCTTGTGAATTTTGAGTTTTTTTTTTATGTTTATATTTTTATAAATTTAGGGTGAATACAAGGTAATATATGTATAGGTATGGCATGTGACCTGAACCCGACGGGTTCCGACTTGACCCGATCGGGTCATGTTTTTTTTAATTCGGGTTCGGGTCGGGTCGAGTTTTTTTAAAGGTTATGTTCGGGTCGGGTCGGATTCGGGTTTATGGTGAAAATACCCGACCCCACCCAACCCGAAAAGTATAATTTTATCTTATATATTTAGGAATTATTACAACAATACCCTCTATATATTATTTTTATTGAATAAAAATGATATTTTTTATTATTATTTCGGGTCGGATCGGATTCGGATTTTATCTCAAAAAGTCAAGTAGGGTGAATGATGTAAAATTGTCAGGTCGGGTCGTGTCGAGTTGGCCGAAACCCGACCCATGCCCATCCCTATATATGTACAAAGACTCTCAACTATTTAACAATGAACGCTCATACCTCCCACATGAGCAATGCTCGAACTCGAAACCTCAACGATAACAACAATCCCTTAATCACTCTAAGGTTACTTAGTTCATGCTGAATTTTGAGTTTAAATAATTAATAAGTCTTTATATTTTTTTTAAAAAATATAATATTTTGATCCCGTCAATATTTAGTTACGACTCTGTCCCTGTTTTAATTCCATCTATTATCCTAATGTTAGCTACCACTATTTTCATTCACCACTTTGTTGTTTCATAGACGCTTTTCCATCAACTTATATTAATCCATTCTTATTGAACCCACACATTCTTAATCATGTGAGTGTCGCAAGATAGTCCATGCGATTTAGGTAGGTGTTATATTGTGCTTCATACGATTTATACTGTAATAAATGTATTTTATTCGAATAAATAATTCGAATAAATCATTATTCAAACAATTTCTTTTCATATCATTGTTGTAAATTTTGTCATTTTTCTTACTTCTCCACATTAGTTCTATAAGAATAAATCTAAAATATTAGTCTTTACATAGAATGACTTTTGGAAAAGACTACAAATAAGTTTGAGAGGAAAAGATTTTAAATAATCATTAAGAGAAGATAGCTTGATAATCTATATTAAGGGTCAACGCGACTTTTAAAAATTGACTTTTAGAAGTACAGTATAAAATAATTTTTAAAAATATTATTTAAAAGTATAATTTAAAATTTAACTGTATGAGGTTATTATTAAAAGATGAGTTTGAAAAGATAAAATATCCATTATAGATATTATGTTATAAGTTAAAAATATAAAATTTAAATTATATTTACACTTATTAATACTATAATTTATAAAATATTATAAAAAATACATAAGTGCTTGCGAATTAAAGTGAATTTTAATATATAAATCATGAATTTCATTTACTTTTAAGTAATTAAAATAAATCATTAAGTAATAAATTATTTTTAAGGATGTTAATATCAAATTATTAAAATAAAGTGTAGTAGAGCCCATTCATTAGTAAGTGTAAAATTATAATTTAATTCCAAAAGACAGTTGAAAATGAAAAAAATATAAATCTTAGTTTTTGTAGTTGATTTAAAATTATCGTTTTCACCATAAATTATTTTAAATTTTATTCGTTTGATATTAATTTTACGATCAAAACAATATTTTTAATTAAAAATAAGTTAAAAAAACAACGCCAAACGAACTTTAAAAAAATGAGAAAAAAAAGAAAAAACTTATCAGATGTTAGTTTTGATTGAATTATGATTAACAACCCAATACTTTAATTAAATTCAAGGGGAAATGATCACGTGTGATAGTCTTAGTATACGGCTAAAAAAAGGTGTTATTAGTTTTTTTATTATTTAATAAATAAAATCAGTAAAAAATTACTGAAAACATTATTATTTCTATCGGTTTTGTTATTATTGGACGCTTTACTAATTTTGTTATTTATTCTACTGATTTTGTTATTGTTGAACACTTTATCAAAAAATATAAAAAAAATATTTATATTTTAGATAAAAATAATAATTTTTTAAATATTTTTTATTAATTTTATTATTTAAATAATAATAAAACTAGTAACGCACGGTAAAACTTCCCAAATTGAAGAGTTAAATTAACATTTTATTTAATAGTTCACAATATAAACTATCACATCGTTTGAAAAAGAAACCTACTGACTGATAACGAAGAAAAAGAATTAGATGGGGATACGAAATGGGACCCACAATCGGCCTGGTCTTCCATGGAGCCGTCGTGTGTCGATGAACGGTTCAGACTCAACCATTTCCTCCCCCCAAGAAAACAACGCATTAGTAGTTAACCATTTTTCTGAGGTTAGTAGTAGTGATCTCGAGTCCTCGAGGAGGCTGGATTCTTTCAAACAACTGAGCCATATTATCTCCTTCGTTTTGTGGTTTCTTCATTTTCACTAAGAAAAAACAAACAAACATGGAATGCTCTCTGTTCTGTAAACCTTTGATCTTGTTTATGTTTCAACTGTTGTTTCTCTGCTTCTCGGTTTCAGGGACGTTAGCTTCGGAGAAAACAATCCTGTTGGAGTTCAGAAACTCCGTTTTCGATCCTTCTGGTGTTCTTTCAAGCTGGAAATCATCGGAGAACCCAAATCACTGCACCTGGTTTGGGGTTTCATGCAACTCGAGGTCTCGGGTCATATTCATCGACATTTCTGGTGGTTGTGGAGGTAACTTTACTGCAGATTGTTGTTGTCCTTCGAAGCTTTATAGGCTGCCGTTTTATGGTTTTGGGTTGAGGAGAAGAGCATACTCAAAGGGGAAATTAGTGGGGAACTTGTCACCTTTGGTTGGGAAACTTACTGAGCTTAGAGTTCTGTTTCTTGCTTTTAATGATATTGGTGGGTGAAATTCCTTTAGAACTATGGGGTTTAGAGAACTTAGAAGAGCTTGATCTTGAAGGGAATTCATTTACTGGGGAGTTGCCTGATGAGATTGTGGGGTTGAGAAATTTGCGGGTTTTGAATCTCGGGTTAAATGAGCTAGAAGGGGAGGTTCCGGCATCTCTGTCCAAATTTGTAGATTTGGAGGTTTTGAATTTAGCTGGGAATAAGCTGAAGGGGTCTATGTCTGGTTATTTTGGTGGCTTCTACAAGTTGAAGGGTCTTTATTTGTCTAATAATCAGCTAAACGGTCCGATTCTCGAGAATTTGGACATAATTGTAGGTATCTAGAGTTTCTTGATCTGTCGGGGAATTTCCTTGTTGGGATTGAAGGCCCAACTCAAGTCCACGTGAATACTCTCTAAAAGACTAAAAGTAGTTATCGGGTCAATTTTTTAATTAAATAGGAAAACTGTATTAGTAAACTGTTTTGTAAGTGGGGGGTTTATTAATCATCATCATTGCTAAAAGAGAACAACACAATCAACACAAAGGGGACGACCAGATACAGAGAGGGAAACACCATCACGGTGGCGCAGAGCAAAAAACGAAAGAGGAGCCAGAGACAAAAAAAAAACCAACGAAAAACCAAAAGGAGGAGACTATGAACATAAAACTTTATTATCTTTTGCAATTTCACAGTGTAAAAAGGATACGAAAAGGAACAGTGGTGTAATTTCACAATTCAAAAATAAAGAAGGCAATAGAGGTACATGTTTTTCGAGGAATTCTCTCTCAGTTCTTTATTTCCTAGTTCGTATTTTTTCATTTTTTTTTGTATGCGATTGTTATTTAAAACTACAATTAGAGAGGGATTGGGACTTACTTAGACTGCTTGAACATAAATGGGGTCTTGTTGATTCCATTTGTTCTTTGTGTGGTTCCATTGTCAAGGAAAAAAGGCAAGATTTAGTTTAACAAAACTAAAATAAAAAGAAGAGCGAAAGTGAGGATTTACCTTGGCCTAGCGTCGGGGCTGCTGTCGGGGTTGAAGAGGGAAGCGTGAAGAAACTGTGTATGTTCTGTGTAAATTCAGATTAGTCTTGGAGGTTTTACATGTAGATAGAGGTCTTATTTTGAATTTGGAGGCTCGGTTTTGGGTGTGGCCGAAAGAAAGAGCAGGTTCGGGAGTGTAAACAGTGGAGTTTGAGTCACCGACCTCTTATTGGAGTTTAGTTATAAGGTCGATTCATTCTAGCAGTGTAGTGTTTGGGTTTTGGTTGAATTTTTGTTAGAAGTGTGAAAAAGCTGAAGTTTTGGTCCAGTGGTGGTTTAGTTCTGTGCGTTTTCGGTGAGGATTTATGGTGGTTCGGGTAAGAATGGTACCCGGTCTCTTTTGTTGGTAAGCCGCATGAGTGGAGAGACTGGAAAGGTGAGCTGTGGAGTGTGGCGTGAGGTTAGGTAGGTCCTGTGTGTAATTAGGTTAGTTTTTTTTACTTAGTTTAGGTTTCATTTATTAATAGTTTTGGGTTAATTAATTTTTAGCCACCTAAATCTTAGGATAATTTGCTCTCCTTGTACTTTAGCCTCATATTTACACTTTAGTCACTTTTAGGATTGCTTTCGAATTTAACCTTTTGTGTTTGTTCTGATTTCGCTATTTTTCTAGTTTTAATTTTAGTTGTAATTTTGTCAGATTATTTATGTTAAAATCCCTTATATTTATGTGTGTTTTTATTTAAGTCATTTTTTTAATTTTTAATTTGTATGTTTAATTTTACATATATTCAAATTTAGTCATTATTTTAAACATGTATATATATGTACTTTTTAAAATTTATAGTTTAGCATGTTATGATTTTGTTTTTATATTTAGGTCACATATGTACATTGTATGTTAATATGCATGGTTTACAATCCTTAATTAAAAAATATGTATGTAATTTTTTTTGTATGTCACGTTGTATGATATTTTTAATTTAGTTTAATTAATTTTGGCATGACATCCACTTTTTGCATAATTTGCATGATAGCTTCACTTGCATAACTCGACATATTCATAATTGGATTAAGGGTAATATATTTTTAATTTAAAATTGTTTTAATTGGGCAGTCATAACTGATTTAAGGTCCGCTTTTAATGATTTTAAAATAAAAGTATATCCCGAAAGTGAAACCAAAAAAATTGATTCGTCACCTAAAATTTGGGAACGAGGGAAAAAGAAATGTTCGTTTATTTAAATATATCGAGAAAAGGTTGTTATATCTTTAAGATCTGGTCTCGATATTTGTAAATAATCGAACATTCTTTATCTTTCTAAAACGACTTGGTAATTTTAATTTAATTATTTTGAGTGCTTTTGAATGTTTTAAATTTACATTTTTATTTTATGGGATCAAAAATCAAAATAAATTCGAATTTGTAAAGTTCATTGCAAAGACGTTAATTAATCGACTAGGTACCGATTTAGGGCGTTGTGGGGGTGCTAATCCTTCCCCACACGTAATCGACTCCCGAACTCGGATTTTGGTAACGCAGACCTCAATTTGTTGTTTTAATTAAAATTAATTTTTATTTAAAATGACAAAGCATTTTTGGGTGCCCAATCACACCCTAATCAAAGATTGGTGGCGACTCTTCGAACCGTATTTTTCGATAGTAAAGAGAATTTCAAAATTTTCGAAACGAGAGGTCTTTTAAATCGCATAAGTTTTTAAAATAAAAAAGAGACAATTAAGAATTAATGTGATTTTCAAAATCTCACCTTTTTCACCTTTTAGAAAAAATCGTTTTGACAGCTTGGCGACTCTGCTGGGGACTTTTTTTTAGAGAGTCAGGCCGATAGTCGGTTAATTAATTGTCTTTGCAATTGAAAATTACAAATTCGTTTTAATTTGGTTTTTGATCCATTGTTTGGTTTTTAATAATTTTTGTTTGTATTTTTGATTTCTTTAATTTAATTCGATTGACAATTAAATAGTTGTACTAATCTGTTTGCTAATGGTTTCAGAATAATTGTTTGTTTTAGGAATTGATTTTGAGTGTTTTTATTGTTTGTTTTTTCGTTTTTCCTCACACACTGCACAGTTGCATTATCATAACATGAGCTAAAACCTCGCTCCGTCCTATTTAAGTAGGAGTGAGAGACTATGCCCTTGTGTGGTTTTCACCTCCGCATGGGATAGTGGATCGCTCCTGGAGCTCACGCCTTATGGTCCTCGTGATGGTAATCACCTCCGCATGGACATAAGGAGGTGTGTTCCCTCGAAATTGAACTCGATCCCCTAAAGCCTATGATGGGCCAGGATTGAGGGTTCGAAAGCCCAAATGGGCACCGGCAAGGACAATTCGAGAACTTATTACTTTAGAACCTAACCCTGCATATAGTGAACGTAGAGCCTGAACTTAGGTTGAGCCAAACCCGAACCTTAAGAATCCCGTGAGGAGGGTACACAAAGAAAAGCTTTTTTGAGTCATTTATTTTCGTTTTTTTCGAATAAATGCATGCGAATTAGATATCATGCGGTTAGGTTTATTTTTTGAATAATCATGCGAATTAGATATCATGCGGTTAGGATTTATTTTTGTGAATAACAAAGCATAAGGGTAGATATCATGTTGGGTAGGATCTACTAAAGCATGATTGGGTAGCCAGCATGTGGGTAGGATTCTTGAACAAATTATTATCCCGACTTAATTGCTTTATATTTGCTAACCGATCTCTTGTTGTCTTTGCCTTGTTTCTTTTCTGTTTTGCATTGCACTATCCATTACATGGTGTTGATTTGGGATCGATGTCCATATAGAAGGCCAGTAATATGGAACGAATGGTTCAGAAAGAGGTCGAAGACAATGCAAATGTTTTGAGGTGGTCAGAACAGTCCCAACTGACCAATGGGGACAGCGTGATGCCTGGATACGTGTCAGAGTTATTTGGTTATACTCACATCAACGTGCGTCAGAATGATCTAAGTGAGCTAAAGGAGATATGGGGAAGATGGACATTAGCCGATAAAGAGATGTTTTATCAGTTGTACGGCGATATTCCTTATCTTCTGGATGTTCCTATTGACCGAAATCTGTTTAGAGCATTGGCACAGTTTTGGAACCCGGGCTTATAGCTGTTTCACATTTGGTAGAGTGGATCTAACACCAACAATAGAGGAGTATCAAGCTTTGGTCCGTTGTCCGAGGTCCCAGATAGATAGAATATATACCAAGCTGCCAATCACTCCATCGTTTAAGAAGAAATTACTATTGATGACCGGAATGAGTGAAGATTGGGTAATCAGAAACATTAAGAAGAAGGGGGACAGTGAGTGTATCTCTTGGGTTGCTTTGAAAGAAGTAATTGATCATCACCCTGATAAGAAAAAGAAGCTTGACTTGTTTGCTTTAGGGATTTATGGGCTCGTTATTTTTCCAAAGGTGCTAGGATATGTAGACGTATCAATCGTTGACCTGTTTGAAAGATTAGACAAGCACGTGGATCCTGTTCCAGCCATTTTAGCTGAGACGTTCCGGTTTTTGAGTTCTTGTAGGCGCGGGAGAGAATGACGCTTTATAGGATGTGCGCCTTTGCTGCTAGTGTGGATTCTGAGTCATTTCAAACATGTTGAAAGAGCACTAGGATGAGTGTTTCTAGAGGGGTTTTCGCATTTGAAAGATTTTCTTTCTAAAGAATGGCTTGGGGGCTTCACAGAAGAAAAATGGATGGTCATCTTCAAGGATATCAGAGATGGAGATATTTTGTGGCGAGCTTCGTGGAATACCTCTTCGGATATACTTTACCGATGTGGAGAGCGAGATTGGGTTCCTTTGCCAGGTATATATGGGGTTCTGTTGGGTATGCATCAATACTAGTTTCCAGACAGTATGGATCGAGGCAGTTCATTCCAGCCACGTGGGACTTGGTAGGATCGTATTTTGCATTCAAAGGAGATCAATATAAGGGTAAAGTTAAAGGGGGTTGCTGAGGCCTGGAAGCAAACTCGTCGCGTGAATTTGTTCACCTATGATCTTGGGTTATCTCAAGAGTACGAGCAGTGGAGAAGTGGTCGAGTAAACGACAACATCCTGATAGTGAATCCTGAAAATATTCAGCCGGTGGAGGAACAGTTGAGAGTGGTGCCATCTCTATTAGAGTTAGCCAAGCGCGATTTCGAAGCAGAACGGAGACAATGGAGAATGACTTTGCAGAAACTGGAAGATGAAGTGTATCAAAAGGGATTGGAGATCGACATTCAGAAGAGTAGAGCAGATCGAATTGAAAAAGTGGAGAAACAACTTCGGCGACTTTGAAGATCTTCGGTCAACTTATCAACGAATGGTAAAAGCTCAGGAAGGTTCT